TTTTTTTAATGTGTAACAATAGGCTAATAAGTAAAAGATAGCTCGTTAGCTTACTTAGCTAAGTTAACAGAAATTTGTTTTAACATAGGGCAAGGAGCTGGTGACACAGAAATAGTGAAGGTAAATGGATCAATGTGAGCTGAAAACACATTAAATAAAAACATCCGTATAAGTTCTTTATTCTTCTTGTAACCATTTCAGTCTTTTTAGGTGTATGTGAAAAACGGCTAATGGTAATAGTAGGCTAATGAGTAAACGTTTGCTAACCCTTAACTATTAGCTCATTTAGCTTATGTTATATTTGGAAATATTAGTAAGTAAATATTTAATATTAGTAAATATTAAATTAAAAAATTTGAGCTTAACACTTGACCAGACTTAAACTGACATGAGTGCGATTACTTGGTTGGGGTGTGTTTTTATTTTGATGTGTATTTCCGTTTCTAGTTTGGTCTAATTTGAAGAAGAGTTAAGAAGGAATTCAATTTAATTTCTTTATTGATTTTAACATAACAGTTAGGTAATAGTGCAATTATATTTTAACGAAAAAAGGATGTCCATCTGATGTATTATTGTAAAGAGACAAGGATTTTATTGTGCCCCATGTGTGATTTGCTTTAATCCCATTTGAGCTATATAAGCTCAGCCACATGGACTTCTTTAAATACTGCTTGTTAGGAACTAGTGAGGCAACTGCACAGTGTTCAGTGCTCTAGATATTATGATGAATTTTAAAGAATATTATTGGTCTAATGTCCTGTCAGATACTTTATTTACTTAATAGTACAATGGGTGAGCTATTGACTGTTTTTTTTTAATAGTAGCCTTACCCACCAGTGGCAATTGTTTCATATTTATGTGCTTTCGCCCTGGAAAATGTAAATAGTCTTTTTTTGTTTTGACTTCACACTTTTATATGAATAATACTTGTATTTGGGCTGTGGTATGTTTATCTTAAATACAATTTAACTGAGATATATATTATCATGACATAAACTCTAAATAAACATTGTGCTTCACTGAATTTATTAGAATAACAGCTTCAGAGTTACCAATTATTACTTTTATTAATGATTTGTGAATGATTTTATTCATAACTTTTAGGTGAATTCTGTGAATTAATGTTCTCTTCACCAGACCTTATACGCAATTACAGCACTTAATTTTTGTTGACACTGGCTACTAATGTAGTTTAACTAGTATACGTGCACAGCAGATGAGAATTACATGATATACATACATGCCCATACATGATATGATCAAATCTCCTGGACCACTCACACATTAGACTTACTCCAGAGGAGGTTTGGAGGTCTGCAGTCAGGCAATAGGCACGCACTTGTTAGCCCTGCTCTGAAACTTTAAGTCACCTCAGCAGCAACTTTGCTTCTTTATGGTTGAGCTACTGTGGTTCCTAAATGCTTCCACTTTGCAATATCACATATCGTTAATCGAGGAGTATCTAGGAGAGAGAAAATTTCACAAACTTGTTGTAATGTTGGCATTGTATTATAATGTCACGCACAAATTCAACGAGCTCTTTTTAATTACCCATTCTTAAACAAATGTTTGTTAAAGCAGAGTGTTTAAATGCTTGATTTTGTCCACATACGGTTTTCTATATAGTTTATGCAAACAAATAACAGAATTTTATAAGACCAGATTTATATGTCACTTCACAATTTACCCATTGAAGTGTCCTCTTTCAAGGTTTTTCTTATGTAGCACGATGTTTGTTTGATTCATACTTGATAATAACTATGCAACTCAATATAATGGCAAAGTAAACAATAATAGACACACATGCAAAAGTTGTAGTAAGTTTCAATAAGCTGCAGTACCAGCAGAGAGAGATATTTAATTTTAAACATGAAAATATCACAGGAAAGTGTTTAAACAGACATTACCAACAGTTACATGTAAATACATACTAGTAGCCTAGCTTAATTGTTCAAGGACCCTGGATTCATACCTTCCTTGCTCGCCAGCGACTTCTTGGCTTTCAATATAGTATCTCCCCCTGCTGGTACTGCAATTTCTGCATGTGTGTCCATTTCACACTTAGAATAGGCAAAGCGTGAAATGGACATGGTGGACCAGCATGTCTATTAGACGCTTTGCTGTGATATAGGATTTAATTATGAGATATACCGTGTATATATAAAATGTGAAAGTTGATGTTTCTTTTTCTTCTGTGATTGGAGGAACTTAAGAGCTTAATCGCACCAGACCCTCTGTAGCACGTTATAAAATAGTTAGGAGGTAGTAGCTGTGGGGTGACAGTTCTAATTTTGCTTAATGTTTTCTTATTTTTGATAGAACTGCAATACAGACATGATTGATTGGAAAAATCTGAATTACATGAATATAATAATGAATGCTCAGCGGTGTTAGCAATGAGTAAAGACAAAACTGTTTTGACTTATTACTGAGGTTTTGCCTGAAGAATCAGAAATTTTGTGAATTCAACGTGAAACTTATTTTGATTGTTAAAAAAGCAAATACTCACACACACACACACACACACTCCCACTCACAGTGCTGTATTAATGCCATCTGCCTGCTTTGACTGCGTCAGTTACAGGTGAACATCCTCCCAGATCACATTAGTCACGAAGTACAGGCACAGAGGACGAACACTCTTATGCTTATGCATCCTGTTTTTTCTCAGATCTACCAAGGAGAAGACTGGTAATCTGTAAGTAACAACTAATTTATATATTTATAAGTTGCATAAGTTATTTTTTTTCTTTCTCAGTTCTTGTAATACTATTATTTAAATTTAACTGTAAACCTGTACAGATCTGGCACAGATGAACATTTATATTTTAATATTTTGTTTTTCTCGCTAATAGATGATATAATAGTAAAGAAAAGATATGCTCTAAATCCTGCTCTTACATACACACTGTTGAGACTGCGTGGTTAAAACACTCATTTTTGTTCTAATACTCTTTTCATTCTTTATTATTCATAATCTGCTGAAATATTTAAATGAGAAGCAAAATCTCTGTAACGTAAACAGTGAATGCAACATAACAGTATCCAAATGTTGGTGAAGGGAAATCCTAATGAATGTGAACCAAATACATTACAGAAAGGTAAAAATGATAGGACAAAAGAAAGAAGAGAAGACAAAAACATGGTGCTAAAATATTGTTCCACAGTACATTGTGTGCATTACCAAACCTGTTTTTCACTGCAAGTTATCCTCCAAAGTCCTCAGAGATTCCCAAAGGATGAATAGCTCAGATGGTTACTAGGGAAGTGTGATCATAAATCCTCACTGGAGGAAGTATATCACAAAACTGGAGGTGGCTCACATAGAAACAGTTTCAACAACAAGTGAAGACCAATGAGGATTAACTGCATGCAACTAGAAGATCTGTGCCAAACATGTCATTTGTGTTCATGTTAACACATTATGTAATACCATCCTGTCGAACAGACACACAGCCTATCCACATGGCTCCGAAGGGGGGAGCCTGTTTGGTTCTGCTCATCTTGGCCTCTGCAGTTTTCGGTAAGCTCCAAAAACATCACACTCAGTATACCCGTTTTACCCCTTTTTTATACTATATGTTTGTTAATGTAAATATGTGTTCTCATAGGCACATAAACATGCATGTATAAATGCTATTAAAAGTGTGTGTTCATTAATACACACCTTTACGTGTCTGCCTAGCTCAACTTCCACATATGGGGCCTCAAGAAAAAGCTGAGTTAGAAAAAGTGACTGAAAAACTGGTAAGGTGTTTTCTGAATTTCACGTCAGTAGAAATTTATTTTTCAGGTTTAAGAGTAGGGCTGGAGTTGTCAATTATTAAATAATTAAGTATTGTTATCAATTGATCGAGTTTCTTATATTAGTAGGATGTGTATTTTTTTTGTGCATGTATGTTTTTAGTGTGCTAATAAATGAATGTGTGTGTGTATCTGTAAGCCTTTAAAAGAGCATTAAGAAAAGTGCGCATATCAACATTCTGAGGGCTGAGGTTTGGTCAACCTCCCATCAGCTTTTTCCCAGTAAAGCCTTTAATGGAGCGGGTGAAACACTGGCATTTACATAGTGACAATTGAACGCATAGAGCCATGCATTAAACAGAGCATCAAAGCGAATAAAATGTGTTCATATTCACTTTGGGGCCAGTGATTTTAATTTGAATTTTTTTTTCTTTATCAGATGAAGAAGTGCTACTATAGGGGTAAGAAAACTTTCAATACACTTTTTAAAGAGAAGAATGTGTATGTGTGTAAAGTACACCCTCTTTCACATTTTTATACATCACTGCGTAATAAAAATAATCTGTTCATTAGTCTTTAATGAAGTCTTTAAACTAGGCAAACACAACCTCAAATGTACAGCAACGCATGACACATTAATTACAAAAGTACACCCTTAGTGCTTCCATAGGAATTAAGAGGATAAATACCAGCCCGGTGCTTCAGCTGCCCTTACTGACGCAACCCCCAAAAAGGGATTCGTGTCTCCGACTGGAATCGAACCAGCAAACCGATCATTCTTCTGTGAAAAACATTGTTCACAAGTGTAATACAGTGGTCCCTCGTTTATCGCAAGATGTACGTTCTAAAAATAACCCGCGATCTGTGAAATCCCAACTTTATTTTTTACATTAAAACCCCTCACTACACACTTTATACAGTTTTCTCAGACAGGCATGAAGATTTTCACACTTTTCTCTCTTGTTTAAAGACCATACAGTTTAAGTCTTCGTAGAAAAATAAGTCCAGTATTATAGAATGAAACCAAAGATCAAACCCTGTTTTCAGGTCCAGAACATGGGAATAGAGCAGCTGTGAGAGAATTCAACATTAACAAATCAATGATACGGACGTTGAGGAAGCAAGAAGAATGAGTTGAGTAAAGTTTGACTGATCTGACTATTTTGTTGCTCATACTGCGGTGTGCCTTACGGTCTGAGAAATACGCTAACTTCTACCTTCCTTTAGCATGTCTAGAAATCTAACCTTTTGTGCGATGGTTAGCATCGTCCTCTGCCTTTTGGGTGCTAGCGCAGGTGCCTTTGATAGTGAAAAAACGTTTTGTCGACATTGTTGTGTTTGTGAGGGAGAAAACTTACAAACATACAGTACAGCACTTCACAGTCACACTGCTAGAGATAGTGATTTATATAGATTTATATAAATTTGACAAGCCGAACACATTCTGTACTGTACAGGAGACACAGCACGGAGGAGATTGATTGACAATGGTCTACAGCCGACCAGGACGCAGAACACAAAGTGCTGTAAACAACAACAGCAAAAAAAATCATGCCAAAAAAAGATCCGCGAAAAGTGAATCGCATTATAGCGAGGGACCACTGTACGTTCAACATAGTTGCCAGTCCCAGGAGTGAATTCCCCTGCAAAATGAATAGCTTCATTAAAAAATTAACATGTATAAAATCTTGGAACTGACACAGGGTGTACTGAAGCTGAACCTTAAAATGTTTTGTTGGAATAATTGTAATGTAACTCCAGTCACCATACTGAGTGCGTCAGTGTGAGAGTGTGAGTACCCTGACCACATTCTGTAATATGAGCCACAACTGATATGTGGCAAATGGTTTGATTTTACAGGATACCCAGAACCTAATTTGATGCAGGTCAACAGTGTCTTCAACTCCAGGTAATTCGTTTTTGTATTTTGTTGCTGTCCTGAAGAATCAAGTGGTCACTTCAGTTAACAGTGAGCCATACATTTTGTCAAATAATGTCCATGGATCCATTTGAAATATCTTTATTTGGACTGTTGTGTAATATTTTTCTTTATGCTTATCCACTTTTTGTCGTCACCCCACTGAAACTCTTGTGATTTCCATAACTCAAGAAAAAAGTCACCGTAGATTTTCAAAGTGATACCATAGATGCATCTACTAAAAATTGCGGACAAGCTCGACCTCTGGCCTTTAAAGGTCAAAGGCCAGAGGTCAAATTTTCTGAAAATGTTGTGAATGCAATAACTCAAGAACGAGGCAATGTGGGATTTTTAAACTCATACCATAGGTGCATCTACTATAAATCTTGGACAAGTTTGAATCTGAGTGATCTCGACCCCGAGGTCAGAGAAAGGTTTCTGAAAGTCTTTTGAACGTGATAATTGGGAATAATTTAGTTCTCTTGTCTATTTTGACCCTCAAGTTATTCTTTATCAATTTTTGTGCATAAACAAGGAAAGGAAATGTAACTAACCAACTAGTCTAAAACTTGGAAACATACTCCTTCAATGCTTATCTGCCGTTAAACCTAAAAATTAGGATTTGGTCCCAGCTAGTGAACTTCAGAACAAGGTGACATAAGATTTTAAAATTGGTACCATACATGTGTCTACGAGGAGGCTGAGGGGTAAAACTGGTGGTTGCCAGTATTTTGTAAGTGTAAAGAAAAGATTTGCTTTTGCTTTTTGCTACAAAATGTTAGTAAATAAGTTATTGATAAGCTATGACATTGGTATTTAACTCCATCTTAAGAATATGGTTTTGCCTGGTCAAATGTGTCTAGTTAATCAAAGGATATTTGGTATATTTCATATGTGAAAACATTTCTTCTCATCAGCTTTTATTTCCTCTGTCATTAGCCTTAGTGGTTCTGTGCAGAACAGAGACGCTAACCAGTCGAACGCCCTCCTTTCCACTTTTCGTCATCTCCTGACCTCAGTCACTACAGGAACAAACATGAAGTCATTTGGTCAACTCCCCGTGGATATTTCGCAAAAAATGGTATAATATAATATAAACATCAATACACCCATAATCACACATACTGTATAACCTATCTCCATTTCCTTAAAAAATATAGCCTTTTGAAATCGGATGATTCTTTTTGATGGACTCTATATTAACTGAAACATGTAATTCATTTTTTTTTTTATAACTATGAGTACCAGGTTAGTCATTAAAGTCACTGATTATTTAAAGCAGCACTTATTGTCTTATTAATAGTCAGTATGAATTTTTTGTTGTTGAGTTCTGACCGTTAATGTTTTTTCTGTCTGTCTGTTATTAGACTAACCAGATGTGGAATTGCAGCAATCTTCCAGGCATGATTGAGGTGATGAGAAACTATTCTGGTGGTATATCAAAGGCAAGGGAAACCCTCCCCCCCAAAAATAAATGCAATGGATAAATTGTTACTGTTTTTTAACAGTCTTATCATGTCTGCCATCTATCCTTTTACCCTAGGAGGATTCTGGATGTTATATGCAAGCGTTTGCAGCCCCTCTTTCCTGGGCAACATTGACCACACAGGATAAAAACAGCATGGACTCAAATGACTACAGAAAACTGATGTGGGCTGTTACACCTATGACGGGGCTTATGCCCTTCTTAAAAACAAAACTTCTGATGAACGTAGATATCCCAAAGCTAAAAAACATGTGAGTATGCTTTTATGCAATAATATTGTCTGGCTTTTTCATAACCTTTCCTATAACTAAACCTGTTGTTGGTTCCAGGATGGACATGTTCAAGAGTATGTATGATCGCATAGCTCCTGGTCAAAGGACTCGTGTGGCTCAATGGGCGAAAGATCAGATCACCCGAAACTACTTCAACTGTTCAATAAAGCCATGGGTTAACGCAACATTAAGTAAGAAAAGTCAGAAATCAATTGATAAAATCTATGTACACACATACAGTTTTGTTAGCATAACTTCAGAGGCTATTACAGTTTTTCATGATGGCATTTTTGATGTGAGAAAAACTGTAAATTGACTCATGTTACTTACATTGGGACTTCCATTATACCCAGAACCTGCAAAACCCTGACTCTGATCTATGTTAAACCTTAATTTGTAGTTTTATCCCATTTGAACAATTTCTATTTCAATTTAGTAAAATTTAAATGACCATACAGACAGATCCACCAACACACCACAGTCTCGCAAATACATTTTAAGAGGCTATTAAGATGCTTTGTTTTCTGCCTCATTTCTCTCGTTGCTTTTCTGATAAGTATAAATGTGCATTGTAAAACCTTGATTTATTAATAGAGCATGTGGATATCTGCTCCCCTTCACTGCAATGGCTGAATTTGGAAGCACTGACTATTTTGGGACCCTACCTGTCCTATTTACCACCAAGTGATGTTAATTATTCTTCTAAAGTAGAGGTAAGAGAAGGATAAAGAAGAAATAAGACATGGAAGAGAAAAAAAACAACAAGGTTATAATTTTTTCCTGGTTGGTCTGCTTTGCTTTGTCTTCTAGCTATGCAACTTTTTCTCTTCAGCTAAGTTCAAATCCATCATGAAGGTAACCACGATGAACCCCACTCTGAGTAAGAAGTTGCTCCATAGAATCCAAGAGTGCTTCAGTTCACAGGAGTTTCCAGAACATGTGGAAACGTGTGTATACATGCGTATATTGATGTACATTAGCAGGTGCAGGTGTTAACAGTAAAAATATTGATTTGTCACTATGGGGAAAGCCCAGAGTCTTCTTCTTTTTCTGCTCATGTCTGCTGTGAAAGAAGTGATAGGAAGCATTTCAGGAAAAGGATCTAGCTGTACATAACATGTCATGTCATTTTTTAAAAGACTGCCGAGTGGTTTTACTTTACCCACTACATACCAAAATAACACAATATCACTGAGGTTTCTGATCTTAGATCTTATAGGGACAGAAAGAAACACAAGGTTTCACACAAAAATGTGTGAAGGATTTGAAATAATCACTACGTTGTCTGGTATTTGAATCTCCACAGACTTGGCCCACTGGCTTGCTATTATGATCCCCCAGAGTTGAATGCTAACTTCAGTGGGAAACTCCTCTCTCAACTGGACCAGTGTGACAGCTCCCAAATCAAAGGGGTATTTTTCACTTACGCTTACCCAAACTTTCACATTTATCTTCTTTGATCAAAGATTTGAATTGTTTCTTGAATCTCAATAGTGTCATAATTATTCGTTCTCTCTTTTATCCTTCCCCCACACAAGCTGAAGACACGGCTTCTCAGTTCTCTGAGGTCACTGTCAAGCCCTGCTCAAATAATACGAGACTTAAGCAGTACTGTTACTGCATTGTCTGCCAAAGAAATTGCTGCAATCCCTGCCACCAATCTCACACAGGCTCTCAAAAATCTGGGACCCAACATCCGATGGACAAGGAGCCAGCTGCATGCTCTTATCGAGAAACATTTGGGTGAAAAGAAAGTGGGTGGATTCAGCTGACAGCTTGTGTCAGATAGCTGTCCTCATTGCTTGATACTTACCTCATTCTGCTCCGCCTCAGTGTAAACAGATATCCGGGATGGAGCTGATGAAACTTCAGCCCATTGCAGAAGGTTTGCCAAACTGTATACTGAAACAGGTAAAAGCTGTAGAGGTCCTGAATGAGCCAGAGGGCCTAAAGAACATCTCCAAACGACTGAGCAGGGGACAGCTAATGGCCATGCTGGCAGGGGTGAGTTCTTCATGTTTCTTCATTTCATCACACCAAATACATTGTGTCTTAAACAAAAAGTATGTATTCTTTCTTTGATTTAATTTCTAAACATATTCTTAAAATAATTAAATGTTTTCCTGTAGATGCTTAAGGAAATGCATCCTCCTGCGCTGGTGCCAATGTTGTCTTCCCAGTTACTTAACGTCGTTTCTATTAACATTTTGGCCGATGCAAATGTCACCTCTTTGGACCAAGTAACAAACAAAACTTGGACTCGGTCACAGGTAGTGATGCTAAGTACGCCTTAGGCAGCTTCATTGTATTATTCTGTTGAGTTTCCTAATTTATTTACTGTTACCATGCATTGCTGTAGTAAGTATATGACTGATTTTGTGATTTTCTTTTTTACTCAAAAAATGGTGCCACTTGTGGTGTGTTCTTACTCAGGCAGCATACCTGGCAAAGAAGATGGCTGACCTAAAACAGCTTCAATTTAGGTGAGAGAAGTATGCTGCTGACAAAATATCTGAAACTCTTTTTGGCAAAAAAAACAGAACAGATTGCAGAGCTTATAAATAGTACAAATATGCTGCTGAGATTGTCACTGCAAATATAAGAATAGACCCAAGTTTTTATGTTTATGCAAAGTCTGACAAATATTTGTACACAGAAATGGTTCATAAAATATATATGTATATATATATATATATATATATATATATATGTAGATAGATAGATA